TAAAATATATTTTAGGTTGTGGATTGAGGGTGCTTCAGAAGAAATGGAGAGAACAAGAGGAAGGGGGGGGGGGGGCAATACTTCTCTACAAACATTATCCCTATAACACATCTAAACCAAACTCATGATGCTAACATAAATAGGAACTTCAAAGATTTTTAAAGACTTATTAAAATATATCAAACTAAACGTGCCATAAATAATTCGAACAAAATTAAATATTTAATTTCCGAATTATCTCTTGACTAATTCGAATAAATGTGACGTATAGCACATATTCACCATGTACGGGTTTTCTTAGACTGTGAAACAGTAAAAAGTTTACACAAGTAAGTTTCACACGCCATCTAGTGAGTAGTTTGCGAAGTATAGTCCATCCATAAATCAATCGTTTTTCATTACCGCTTATTCAATGTAAGTGGTCTCACTTGAAATGATTTGTACCCATGCCGCAAGATTTATTTGCTAGATTTATTTCCTGTAATTAATGGTAATGTGTTTAAATTTATCAAAACGAATAGCTCAAAATTTGGTTGAAAACACCTTAATATGTTTTTTTAAACACATTTTTTGTAAAGACGAAAGCTGAGGTGCGACCATCCGGGCGTGTCGCACCCACTTGCTATGTGACGTAAAAGGGGCTCAGTGACGTTAGAAGCGAATGTACCCCTTTGCCTCTAGCGGGCACCGTCATTGCCCGGATTAAGAAGAACGGAACGGAAACAAAAATGAAGAAACTCGTCGCAATTTTCATGTGTTTGATCCTTTTCACCGCCCTCGCAGGTAAGATCATTAAGTTGCGGTCTTTATTAGGCATATCATGGGTACAAAGGGGAAAAGACAGCAAAAGTGAAGTCTTAATTATTTTTACAGCAGTGAAACTGTTTTTGGCTGAAACTAGCAATGTGTTTGTAATGTAATAAATTATACATACAATTTATACACGGAGAGAAGAAATTATACACTCCTTGGCTCCAGGACAAACTGCAATTCTCTCACTGGAACAAACCAATTGGAGAACATGTAGAATGCCAGTGTTAATACCGACAGGTATAACACGCTCACTGCAGGCAGTACGCTATGAGGTGCACAACACATCCTGTTGTATTAGTGTGCATCATGTGACTTGCAGTGGAGCATCAGAATCCGAGGACAGGCAGCGAACAACAAGTTTCTCATACATAAGTAGAAGAACTATTTGCAGTCAAGAAGTGTCGATTGTTAAATTTCAAAGTCTGAAAGGAGACTTTGTGTGTTTATAGTTGTAAATATAGGTATTTCCTGGGTACACAGAGGTACCAGCTATGCAAACATTGGGTCAGCTTCTCTATTTTCAGCCACATGGTTCTGACAATCTGCACTGTTGCCACGTCGCAAAGCCGTCCAGAGCCCAGGGCATCTGAGAGACTGGTGTTTTAAGTCACGTGATCCCAGGTCCCCACATGGGGATGTGTGTTGTAGGGCGGGAGGGGGGTCAAGGGGAATGAATGAGCACTTTGTTAAGTCATGAGAAAAACAGCTTTAAGATAGAAGTGTATGCTTTGACTCTCTGGAAAGGATTTGACCAATGAGAAAACGGCAAAGTTGGGTACAGGCTAAAAGCGCACTAACGAATGAATCAGATCATTTATAGCCTTAGCGGCAAATTGTCCTGCCCTCCACTTTCAGAAGCTGCTTGTCAAGAACATCTGTCCAAGTAAAAGATTGCGTTGTTACATTCTCCCAAAGTCCATCAACACTGCCCTCCTGACGGTAGGCAAACAGGCTGAAGATGTCAAAGGAGTGTGACAATCTCGCAGTAGGTGTTTCTGTGTTGCTAGGCGCCACACCAGTTATCAAAGAGAGCTTTGCCAAACAACTTTTACGCAGCAAGAGGCAGGAGCGACCGCGGAAGGCGGGCTTTCCTGATGAGCCAATGAGGGTGAGGCCTGAGGGTGACAAACGCCCACGACACTGATTATCACTCATCAGAGTACCATCTCCGGCTTACCTGCACTGCGTATTAATCCACATCTCCTTATTCTCTCTGTTTATGGCTCTGTATCAATGTAATATCAATATTTACACAAACGGCAAACAAGAACATTTCTGCAGACACCTACCATTAAAATCTGTCTAATGCTCCAAAATAATTCAGCATAGTCATGTGACCTGTCACATGGCTTGTGAAGACCAGCTCCATCACTGTCTCTCTCCTTCCAGGAGCACATGCTGTACCTTCAGCAGCTGGACCAGAGGGCCCAAGAGACCAACCTGGAGAACTGGCTCAATCCTCACTGCTACCCTCGCTGTGATCGCAACTACGGCTACCCCGTGTAGCCTGTTTCCATGGTACCCAGGCCTCACCCCCGTAACACTCCGAGCATGCCGTCTCTGGGCACCCAAACACCGTAACCTGTTTCCATGGTACCCAGGCCTCACCCCTGTAACACTCCGAGCATGCCGTCTCTGGGCACTGCTCCCCCTGCTGGCACGGTAGATGATGGCAGTGACCACACTGTCAACACTAAAGCTCTGTGGTCTGACCGGTTCTTTCTACTTGCAGGACGGACACTCAGCAGACTGTGGACAATGGAACAAAGTTGAAAGCAAGAACTGTGATTCTTTTTATGTGTATTTTGCTTGCATAACAGTATGCTAATGCATGTAAGGCTTACATGAAACAAAAATTCTGCAGGCTGACTCAAGTACAGAAATCGCAAATCGTCTATATCTTGCTTTTGTTGCATGCTTTACCACATTATACCATACAGTATTAAATAAAGGGCATGTATTCAACATTACCTAATATCAGATTTCCTATTTTCTAAGTCTCGTGTTTGACAATGATGGGGGATTTATAATGATATATACAGTATTACATGTGCTTAAACTTATGGGTGGAAAGGTGTATCGGTGATTAGCATTATTCCCTCACATTACCGGGATTAGCTGTACTCATCTTGCCTCTGTTCTGTGTGCGTGAAGCTTGCATGATCACACTGTGTTGTGTGAGTCTCCTCGCATAGTCCAAAGACATGCAGTCACGCTCATTAGTGTCTCTGAAATGCCAGATTTGTATGAGTGCATGTGCCCTGCACTGGACAGGCATCCCATGCGTGATCTTACCCTGCCGCATGCCTTTATACTGCGAGGCATAGGCTCCAGGCCCCCTGCAACTCTGCTCAGAATTCCGGTTGGAAGATAGATGGGAATGCTTAAACGCGTAGTTTTCCCCCCCTTCTTTTCAAATTGTCATTAATGGGGGGTTCGAGCCGTTTCATCTTCAAAATTGCAAAACTTTATTCCTAAAAAGCCTTCGGAGTTTTAAAATGAAGGCTGCATAGCAAATTACATAAACAGTACAGATACAAAGCACGGTGTACTAAATCTGTAAAACGGCAGGGGGCGCTAGAAAATGCTCTCCAGGAACAATATGAACGGGGAAACACCTAAACTGGAAATCCCATTTAAGGCTCAGACTTGCTTGCCAACTGTAAATTTTTTTTCACGCCCAGACTGATAAAATTAACATTTTAGTTATTTTTTGATAATGTTTAGGAAATCAAATGTAGGCTACCTGAAAAACAAAGCTGTGAACAATTTTAACTCTTCTACGTGACGACCGCGTCCGCTGAATTATACATTAACCGAAGTGACGTGTGCTGGAAATCTTAATAATGATGAATCCTACACAAAAACTACTTCATGGTCAACATTACATTGTAAACAAATTATCATTATTATTGCTGCGTTTTAAATGGAGAAAGTTCGGGCAAGTTTAAATTGGTATATGCTTTAGGTGAAACCAGAAACATCCTCGGTCCCTTACCACGTTAGTTTCCATTAAGTTTGGAAAATATTACACATTGAACAGTTAGGCCCTATTAGTAGCTACTATGTATAGATCAACTAACGAGACCGGTGTGATACACGTTTAAAGTATCCCAACGCTGTGGGACTTGGGTTTGCCCACTGAACCAGCCCGCGGATTAGATCTCCTTAGACTCGGAGATGCACGTTTCCGGGACGTCCGGGAGATATTGTAAGCCAATCTTCCGAGTTGGTAGATATATAGTATATATATGTTGTAAGCCGACTGGATACGGCACCATCAGGCATTAGAAAGCATGTATATTAAAATAGAATTAAAATAGATTTTGTACATTAGAAACACAATACACGATCAACATGCAAATGGAAGTCTATGGAAATAGACTGTAACAACATGGATGTGATATTTTCGGCGGTACCCTTTATCTTATACTTTGCGTGCACTACTATTCTAAATAACAAGAAATTTGTTTCACCTGTCTGAGAGCAATACACTACAAGTCAATAGGCAGTCTTCGTTTCTGTTATTAGGGTTAAATTGAATTAAGCCTTTGGTGTCACGTGGTTCTGCACGCTAAGGGAAAAGGAACCATCCAGTTCAATATAACATTAACTGTAAAGCCAACTGCTACGTAACTTTTCGCTGGATTGCAGATTATTTCCTTTTCCGATAAAACAAATGTGATTTCAGCTTTAATCGTGCAGTGAAACGGCGCACTGTGAAGAAGACGCTGGATATTGGATTTTACTTCGTCGTTGGAAGTTGGGACACAGTTGGTACCGAGCTCTATAGTGCACCTGTTTCTGTTACTATCGGTATACTCACAGAACAAGATATTTCCATTCCATGACAGTCTGTTATGATTTTGTTCGTCGGTATTTTCGGTGTCAGACCCGCAGTTGGGTCTGTTACATTTTTAATCGTTTGTAGTCGAGATTAGTTGCGGATGCAGTTCTGGTAGACTACAGATTTCACTTAGCCGGAATTAGATTTTACGTCAGTAAGCCCTATTATTCCTCAGTTTTGCTCGTTTGCTTTAAAATACTTACAGCGCCACAGCGAGGACTAATTATTCACGATCCTTATTTTACAAGTCCTAATATAGGTAGGCGCGAGGACGACATGATATATTATATTAATGCGCAGTATTTAAGAGAAAATCGGACAAGTAATTAGAAATTATGTACATTTTGCAGGGCAGTAATCATATATTTCTTTTAAATAGTATTAGGCCTACTATACATTTTTAAAAACAAATGTAAAGAGCTGTCCACCAGCTGAAAGTGGGATCACACTTGTAAGTCAAACTCGAATAACAACGGAAAGTCCCAAATGGACACCCAAATCAACGTTATTTCGCTTGGCCTCCTACTTGTGGATTTACAATAATCCATTTGTTCCCGGTGTTTTCGCCATAATACGGTAATCCATGGTTTTTAGAATATTATCTGCATAATCCGTGTAATTAATTGGATATTTTAATGGGATTACAAAACGGTTGTATTTCTGTTCAAAATCATTGTCGTTTCCGTTATTTACACCTCCACATCGATACATCAAATTATTTCTGACTTTGCGATAATAAATTTATAGCCCGAGAAAAACACAATGCAAGTTTTACGAGAATATATTTATCAAATAGTTTATTAAATCCTGTAATTATAAAAACTTCGAATGCTTAACAGTACCCGCCTCGGTCAACACAGAGACTACACATACACCAACCACCTATTTTCACCGATATAAAAAGAACAAGACTTCCGTCTGTTTCGTCAACTTTATTTTAATATCAGGAAAACCGAAATACCATTATACACCGTAATTGTTAAATTATTAATATTTTAAGTGCAGTGAGTCGAGCAGGAAAAACAACCATCCAACGCCATGATACGTGTGTTAGAAATAGGGCTTACGGACAAAAATCATAACCAAAACGGAGTAAGAAATCTATTAATATGTTCAATAGAAAAACCATCAATACCAAAGGCCGTAAAATTTAATTGGTTATATGTAAACAAGCCCAGGAATCTGTCAGTATGACATACTTGGATGGAGGAAAAATACCAAAAACTGTGGTCAACTTACATGTCCTTTATAGCAATGTTAATTTTAAAAGAATAGCAATCAAATCAAGTCAAAATTTTCAAAGTTCACAATCTAATTTATCGGTCACCATCGGTCCAAACGGCTATATAAATTTACGACCGACCCAGACTCAATAAAAATACTAAATATTAACAGCTATTTCGCGACATAACACGATAAGACACCAGTGTGCTATCAGTTCGTCGAATAATCTGTCAGAAGTTAGTATTAAGACAGCAGGAGGGCGAGCTATAGACGTAAGTCGTCAGTTTCTCTCACGATCTCACTACGATTACATCAATACATCCATCTTTAGTAACTACTTTGTACATTGGGGTCAGATACGGCGACCTTTACGTTTAAGGATCAAGGCAGCCAGTTTTCAGGTACCTGGCAACATACTAAGATTACTAATGACTGTAGCACGAATACTGTCATAGTCTTGTCAGCTGTTAGTACCACATTTTTGGCAACTGCTTCCACCCATCCTAGTGTGGATTATTATTACTTCCGCAACGGTTCGAACAAGAAAAATCTCTTTCCGAAAATTCGCTGCGAAATGCAGCGCGGACGATTTTGACAGGCATTTTCGAACAGATGAATACTTATCGGAAACAAGGCGATTTTATTTCTCTCAAAATGAAATCATTGCAAAGGCCCTTTGGTGCTTAAATGTCCAATAAGTGTGAGTTATGAGAAGCGCCTTGTAAGCAAATATGTAAATGATGCCGAGAGGTTGGAGTTCAGTATAACCTACTAATTGCAAGCCAAAATATATATTTAAACAACTTATATTGCTACAGTGGATAAAACGTTCTTTGCGCACACTTACAGTTTCGCACATCGCTAAAAGAGTAAGGTACATGCAACCCTATAACGAAAAACCGGTATTCGCAGTACATTTCGCCTAGGTATGGACATTTAATTTGGTCATTTAATTAAATACATGTCCTACATTTACATATTTAAGTTCACATAACTCGCGCTGCTTCTGTACACTTATGCAAAATTAATTCCAAATGACACGTTACTTCGAAATAATTACTCTGTGGAAGTTTATCTCTCTTTAAAAAAAACAAAAACAAAAAAAAAAACCAATAATCAAAATAGATTACATCAGTCATCTTTTATCTTTAAAGAAACCTTTGTCTGTGCTGCTTTCCTTAATGGTCACAGTCAAAAAGTTGGCAGTGACATCCGTCACCACCACCTTCTCCACCTTGGTGGGACAGGGGCTCCAGCATTCCTCCACAGCCGCCTCGAAAACCCTGGATACCGGAGATTTGGTGCCGCGGTTCGGCAGCTCCCGTTGTGAAGGGCTGTTGGGTTCATATAAATTATTTTTCGACAGGTGCTTCAGTCTTGGCTGCTGTGTGGAAATAGCACCTGCGCACTCCTTAGTCCTGCAGGCCGGCAAGTGGAAACCCCCTTTATGGGAACTGACCTCGGAGCAGTATTTAAACATGCTGCTGCTTGGCACCGCCGGTGCTTGCGTTAGAGGATAACCAGAATCCCTTTGGAGTCTCCGATTTAACTGGAGACCATGCAGCTCTGACTTCTGCCCTTCGGGAATACCGTGCTTTCCTACTTTGGCCGGGTTATACGCCATCTGGTCCTCCATCCTACTCCTCTTGGCAGGCACCGCTGACGCGCTGCTGTCGGGACCCTCCACGAACCGTAACTTGGGTTTTCGTCCCCTTTTCTTTGGGGCAGCAACAAATCCCTCCGCAACCGGCCTTGGCGATCCAGAGGTGCGATGCCCCCTGTCCGGTTCCGGAGGTCTGACCCGGACACTCTCCCCTCGGTTGACGGTGCTAGGAGGGAATATTGTCGGCACGACGGTCCGTAAACCCTCGCGAGCTCGCGGGGTAATGACGGGTTCTGGGACCGGGAATGAAACCCGGATGCCTCGTGCCATATCGCTCCTGAATTCATAGGTTTTGGCTTGAGCTTTAGCCTGAGCCTAAGAGAGCAACAAAACAGAAATATTTACATTTATTAGCCATTCAATGCACAGAATTTGTAACTCACAGTACCCATTATTTTTAAAATAACTATAACTTAACTTAACAATATTTACTTTTTCCGGGACTGGGTGACTTGCACTGAAATCACCCAGTAGCTCATAAACATATCAGAGGTTTGACTGTACTTAAAACAAAAGCAAAACATGACAAAATGTCTAACCTATTTCAGGACATAATGACTGTCCCCCCCTAAAACAGACGTCAGAAAAGGTCGGAATTCCAGAAATGCATCTGCAATAAACGTCAGACAGATGCAGCTCCCGAACAGGGCAAGTCGTCGCCAGTTGGCTCACCTTCAGCAGAAATGTCTCCGGTTTAGGTCCTCTTTTCTTTGGCCCGAACAGTTCCCTCTCTCGCTCCCTGCAAATGACATGTTCCGCATCATAAATATTATAGATCAACGGAAGTGCTCGTGCGTCGCTGCATGCACGGCCAAATCAATGAAACGTCGTGCTCGGCGCGCGCACATAAAGCGGCGTTTCCTCCCAGCTCCACCAAGGCCTGCTGCGATCGCCTCACCTCTCCTTGAAAGCTGCTAAAAGACGGTCATCCAGGATGTTTTCCTCAGGTTCCCAGGTGCTATACCTACATAAAAAACAAGAAGATGACATGCCTCACGTAGTATTAGCAGCCACCGCGTTGTGCGTCATCGCCCGAGGTAGAAAAAAACCGTAGCTAGCTTCCCGGCTAGCGGATACATATTCAGATGGCTGCCCTGTTAGCTAGCTCTACCCTATAGCCAAACCTTTACGTAGCACATTGCTGGCAAGAAATCATACAACCCCCAGTTTAACAGCTTCTTAAGCGTGCAAATAAAAACGATACGGGCTGCTGGTTTTACTCACTTTTGAGACCAACCTTTCCATTTCACCAGGTACTCCATTCGCCCCTGTGTGATTAGAAAGAGAGAAAATACTTTTGAGAAACCGAAATGTCATATAATCGCTGTGTAAACAAATGGCTAGCATTCAGGCCAAAGGCACATTAGCCGAAGGTTTACGTACCCTCCTAATTCTGCGTTTTATGATGGATTCGGCAGCAAAAACTCTCTCTCCCACAGCCGACAGCTCCATGTTTACTTCAATCTCGCTTATATTTTTTCTCTCCACATTCACAGCTAAGTCCAGGCAGACCATAATACTCAATTTTCAGCCCAAACGTCATCACTTTTTTGCAGCGTTGCTATGGAACTACTGTCGGTGGAACGGTTTTAGCAAAGCTGATTGGCTGGGATCTTGCTACGTGACCGAAGCTGCACGGTGAGGAGGAGGAGTTAAAGTGCGAGCGCTTTCAATCAAAGGGAAGTGACGCCTTGATCGAACAAACATGCATGCAACAGAGATGAAAAAATATTAATACGTGTGAATTGTTCACAGTCTGCAATTAGGGTGAAATTTTCCTTATATTACAGGAATTTTAAATAATCTGTTTTTTTTATTACGTGCATTATTTGTAGCTTGATTGGTACTTAGCTATAGACTGAGTAAAACTTGAATCAAGAAGCAATTCAAAAGTACCAAATACCTAGGCCTGCTTAACTAGACACAGGTTAATAAAACAAAGAATAGAGTTTGGTAAATATACAAGAACCAAATTGCTATGTAAGCTTCTTGAACCAAAATAACGGGGACTTTTGGACAGAACAAACATCTAGATACACATTTTCTTGCGTAACCCTGAGCTGTTTCTCCTACGCGCATCTAGTTTGTCATTAAGTTTGGAGGACAGAAGATAGCGGTGTTTCTCACTTACGTGATGCTGGAAGGCAGCCAGTATTTGAGTTTTTACGGGAGTAGATCAGAGCAGAAAACAAAGTTCGCATTATTATTGCCTAGAAACATATTAACAGAACAAACTTTTCAAAACACATTTTTCCTTTCAATGCGATTAATACGGTTACATAATTCAGGCGAAATATAATTAGTCGCAATTTATTGGATTAGCAAATCAACAACACAATGCGGTTTAGCTGTCTGCGGTCGCAACGTCATTTATTACAAGCAAAAATGCTTTGCGTCATAATATTTTACAGAATGCACAAAGTATAGTCTATTAGAAATACCGGTAACACTGAGAACAATTCTTAAATATTGACAGATATTTACTTTATAAGAGGACAGATAAAACCCGCCTTTCTGAGTAATTATAAATAATGTGTTTACAGTTTAAATAATACATCTAATCTAAATATGTGGCTGGCTCAGAATGTTGAAACTGAAACAGAATGTCACATAACATGTAGACCGCACAATAATATCAAATTATTATAGACCTATATTTAAAGGGTTAAAATTGTGTGTTCCACCACTTCCAAACCGAAGAGACGCTAACTTTGCCGTTTTGTTTGATTGTTGACATTTCAGCCTGATAAATGGAAATAAATTAGAAATTTGCGGTCTAAATGAATTCTGCCTAAATTGAATTGACTTTGTCTTAAGTTATATGAATTGGCTATATTAGTCACTTGTATGCGTTTTCACAATCTGTCTGTACTGACCTTTAAAACCGTACTATATTTATAAGGAAAGATACCCATACTAAGTTCAATTTTATTTATACGTCTATAAATATATTTAAAACGGCAACTAAGGGTCTCTTTTCTTTTATTAACTGCCTTATTCTTAAATGTATACAGTGTTAAATAAAATGAAGGGACATTGGCGTAATCAGTCAAATAAATGCGCCCATTACATTTAAATCACGTGTTAATAATCGAATTTTAAATAAATAATTTTTCGTTTATTTTCCGAAAATACTGCGCAAAAAATAACTTTCCATTTAAAATGTTAAATGCGGTGTTTAGTTTTAGGCGCGTGATATTTTTGCATCAGCAGCTTATGCTTTCCATTTACAAATTAAGCTTCTTCGACATCATTTCAAAAGGAAGAATGAAAAAATGAAACTGCACACATTTACACAATTACACAATCGACTTGGGCGGTACGTCATCATAACTGCAAACTTCACGGCTTCGTAATGTTAGAATATAAATTTAAAACACCCGAAAAAAATGCTGTCCCAGAGTCCAGTGTGTTTTACTTTGCTAAATTGTTATTTATTGTTACTTTTGTTTTCGTTGTTGTTATTTTGTTATTTATCCACTTATATAACTGTACTGTCATGTATCTATATGTGGACGACAAAATTCAAAATATAAATTAGGACAGAATCAGAGGGGTGAACCGTGTACAGTAACTGTAAGACGGAGCTCTCTCTGCATACATACAGACACACCTCTCACGGCCTGACAGGGCCCTTACGATAACACGCAGTTACATAATTACAGATTAGAAGGGAGAACATGAAATTTGTTTTATTTCACCTCAGCACGACACTGCATAACTGCTAAAGTAATCTAAAGTCAAATACAGCTATTTGGTATTTATCTCTAAATGTTTGAGAACCCAATTATATAAATACGGTGCCAGATTAGACGAGTATGCGACGTGAAATGTTATTATACGACGTCGAAGTAAATGATAGGTCGGCAGGCCAGACGGATCAGAAAACTGGAAACATTTCAGGACACGCAACATACCAGGGTAGAAGTGGTCATCAACACTTTGAGAAGACTGACTCAAATGTGTGTACTTAAAGCAGCGTGACAGGACAACAGGTTTGTACAGCCACGTGACATAAGAACACGAAAAACGTGGACACGGGAAGGCAGGCTATTGTTCACGTAACCGAAGGACTAAAAACGCTGTAATTGTAAAGCGAGCTCCACAGCATTTCAATACAGAGAGGTTACTTTTCTTGTTAGATGGACCACAATTGTACACAACGGTTTTGCAAAAGTAGGTTGCCAGAGTCCTTTTATGGCTGCTGCGGTGATTGGTCTCGGAGCGTCTGCAGCGCTGCAAGGCTTGCAGCCGTATATGGGTGCATAGCCGAGTTGTCTAAATATTATTGGCTCTCTCGTATCTGGGCAACAGCGTTTGTGAAACTACAAGTGTATATGATACGATTACATTCTACTGATTATACGTTGATGCGATTTTATCTTCCTAATTTCGTTGATACTCGTGTTAAAACCAGACGTCGCATATCCAAACCGCAATTAAAGCATTTAAACAGGCAAAGTAGGGTATTGTCTGAAACATATACGTCCCGCACAGGATGTGAGAGTCCAAAACCGCGTGACAGCGCTACTTCTTGTCTAACTCCATAACAAAGAGCGACTTCCCACAGCCGACGCAAAGCTGCGAATTATCAATTATAGTTAATCGGCAATTTGTTTTGAAATTGAAAATTTTATAGGGGACGTATTCAGGCACAAAAGCTCACTGTCAGGCATCATTTCATGTTTGAATTAAGCAAAAATAAATGACACTGAGGTGAGACCAATAAATCAATATTGCACTACCTAAAATTTCAGAAGTATATCCGATGATCCAGGATGTTTCAAAATTCGTAATTTCGAAATTTGTTCACCTTGTGGTACCCTCGCTGGATGAAGTATTACCCCACTTATAACCTGTATATTAGACTGCATTTAAAATGCTCATGTATAGATCTACTTCAAAAATACTACTTATAAGCTGTAAGTCGTATGCGTTTGGGTGTTGTCTGGGTGTGAAATGCATGATTGCTGGAAACGTTGGCGTGTTAGATGCCCAACCCTGTGAAGCAAAAATTTAGCCAGAGGCAACATTTCAGTTTACTTTAAGTATTCATCTTAAGGATAATTATTTGTTAGACATTACTTCTTGCAAATGTATTCTAAATGAAAAGTATTTGGTTATGGTCGCCCCATAAATGACAAGAAATAGCTGGCTTCCGGGAAAATTTAAGACTATGTGACTATGTTTCATAGAGTTATACAACATTTTGTGTGTGTGTGTGTGTGTGTGCGTGTGTATGTGTGTATATATATATATATATATATATATATATATATATATATATATATATATATATATATATATATATATATATATATAGTATATATAGTATATATGACTGAACCAGGGAGACTATATAATATGCTGTTCGAAGTTACATAATAGGAGTTTCTACTTTAGGCTACATAATTTAAGCGAAAGTGGATAAATTAAAAAAGTATAAATTTTACTTATAACTTATGGGCCACCTGGTGTTTTCGAGCGCACGAGTTTTATTTCCGACACTGGTCAAAATGCATGACACGTAACCTATATCTAAAGAGTAAGCTCGCGCATAATGACGGTCCGGGTGCTTTTAGATGCATTCCACGTACATCGATCTTAGTCATTTTTTGTCCACTATTTAGAACAACCTACTTATTAACGTTCCATCTTTTGTAATTAAAACAAATTTTAAAAATGCGGTTTAGGCAAAACAATGCTTTTCAGCCGTTTAAGCATAACGCACCTTGATTACAGTACCTTTATATTCTATCAGCCCAGTAGAGCTAAGGGTGTTTTCAGCAACAAACCGTGTGAGCTACACCGATAAACTGTGCAATGTGTTGTTCATACAACGTTTGGGAATAAGCTGGATGCGCTGAAAGGGACAGCCATTTTCTCTCTCCTCTTGCAGAAAACGTATTGAAAGCAACTTATTTTCGAGGGTTCCGCGGTATAGGAAATGGTCGCTGCGAAGAAAAAAAAACTGCGGTTAGGAGCAGTGATAAAGCTATGCTGCTGTATCGCGCCAAAAGAAGCATTCACTATCCCATTTCATTATCTAAGAGAATTAATAGCATTTGCCTGGTGTTGTGCAGTAAAATCCGCCATTTTAGCTGATATTCAATTCCTTTAAGGTAGTTGTTCAAGCCAAAATTTGATCAAGGTCTTACTTAACTGCGCAACAATACAAACTACATTAACATATACTCGGAACGCGGTTACCTTAGGTTGCATAACCTAAAAACAAATATTTAGGTTAAGTCCATTCAACAACCGTATGTCATCACTCAGACATACCGATAAACGCACAAACATTTGTAAACTATTTGTGTGTCTGTCCGTCCCTCCTATTTGCTTTCCACATATTACATTTTGATGAGCAGATACACATGACAGGTTAAACATAGTGTGCTGTTCTAATCTGCCAAATATGAAAAACAAAAAATGGAAGAAGCGCAGCCTTTTACCGTAATTTCAGATCAAGCTGTGAGCGAAAGGGGCGTTAAGTTGTAAATTATATTTCCTAATTCTGACAATAATTGCCATTCAGATTTAGGGCTCCTCAGACTACTCCTACAAATGCATACGTCACAAATCTCCCAAACTACATGTTTGAATGATTTGATTACAGTCTACGGACGTGTGATGTCGACTGAAGCAGGGTAACCAATTCGCTTACCGGACAGGGCAAGAACAAGCAAATCTGGCACGTGAATTTTGAGCTTCCGAATCTTAATTATGACACTATTGCTTAGCAAACGTTGAAAGCCACGCAGGCCATGGAAAACAAAGAATATTTACAAAACAAAAGCCAACGTTTTTATAACAACAAAACTTCACTGCCTTATTCTTTATTTTGGCTAATTGTGGGCTTGAATTCTGTTCATTTAAATATAGCGGGTCGTTGTCATTTGTGTATTTGGTCGCATTGCCTACAGCTGTAAAGAAAAATGATCTCAGAGAAACTATAGATGAGATAATTCTAGGATCCTTTAAGGAATGCAATAGGTTCCTATTAATTTATGACTGCGGTCACGTTCTGTATTAAGACACTGAAATTATTGAGCCCCGTTCTTCCTTAATTTGGTTTGATTTAGCATAACTTAAGACGCAGGAATAAAAAAAAATCACCGTAAAATAACGAGATAAAAACTGTCGAAAACATCTGCACGTGCAACAACTGCGTGTAGCTATAGGAACCCCCTCGAGACACAACCCCATAAAACTGAACATTCAATAAGGATCATTGTTTCTTAAATGTCAGTTTGTTTATTTATACCCCCCAACTGGAATATGTAGCATGGCTCTCTGTAAACGTTTTAAAAGAATTGTCAAACATCTTTTACACATGGGCTACCTTTCACAAGTTGGTGGAGTGGTCCATTAGTTCAATTGATGTACATACTTTTGAAATTTAGATTTTCATAATAAAAGAAACTATAAATTAAACTCATTGTTAAACAGCCAAATGCTCGAGCTTGGCACGCACCTCAGCCACTCTCGGATTAGGTGAAACTAAAGCGACGCAATTAGCGGCTGCGCCTGTAAACCAGACCGCATACCTTCAGCGGCACTATGAACGTTTCAGGCAGCATTGCCTTATAGTCCCGGTAGCCGCAAGCAATCGACCTTCACCTCACACCGATACACACTCAAAGTGTCTGCGAGCGTGCTTACGCTTGTCTGTGTGAATCATCATCATCTTCACACCGCTTCTCCTGGTGATGGCCGTGTGGATCATCGGTGTTTTTTTTTTCTTGAAAATGTATTAAATCTGTGGCAACATAATCCTGAGATCAAATAGCGCAAACAGCGGTGGCAAAAGCACAGCCCCTCAAAACAATGAAAAACATCTTAGATAGGAGCCGGTTGCATTTGAAAAGATGTTCTTAATTCAAAGGTTCCTTTCGCCAGGTGAAATTACTGGGCCTCGCAAAATAAATTTGACTGTGGATGAGCAATCACTGAAGAATGCAAACAGGATGGTTAAAACCCATATGCACCGCTTATCCCTGTTTGTGATCGAGGCCTGAATTATTAACTACGCAGGCTTACAGAAATAGGATTCGGGATGCAAATTCCAAAACTGGCGCAGAAACAATCTTCTCTCTGGTTGGCTCATTAAACCACACACCTGAAAATAACTCTGTTGCCATCAGAAAAACTGAATAGCGTTGTCGCATTTTTGTCTACTGGATAATACAAGTACGTTTGTAATGTGCTATTTTCCTCACTTGTAGGTTTTGGACAAAGGCGAAAATAAAATAAAGATTAACGTAAGTGTACGAACAGGCGACAGCGGCATGAGACCAGATATAACTGACAGGCATCGTTACGTTAACCTAGCTATTGTAAGTGAGTCAAGTGTAAGCCAGGCTTCAAGGCCAAGTGCAATACATAAATACCTTACATAAATATCTTGAAAGCACAACTCATCTTTCTGTTACTTCGATTGAATTTGAGCTTACCATGGGCGTGCTTTTAATCAGCTAAACATCCCCGTCAGTGAAGGGCATGAGTTATTTTAACCCATTGCACCTGTCGATAGAGTCTAGGACTAATCATTTCTATATTAAAGGGGGGAGTCGTGCCAGGACTTAGTGTGACTGGTCAAAAACTCCTCATTCATGTGTCTGTTGTTGATTATAAATATTGCTTTCAAATGCAGGACATACCATAGAGAAGAAATTTTCCCTCCCTCAAAATTAGTTACATTTTAGTTTTTCCAGGGAATACACAAATTTTGAAGTTATGAAAGTTAAAAAAAAACAAAAAAACTAGACAAGCATATTGGGCAATATCAAAGCAGTACTTTTTATACAGGGGCAGCTCATGTACAGAGAACGCAGACACGGGTAAGAGATTAACCTCTCGCTACCCAGATGTGGGCCAAACACTGCACACCCAACCCTACAGAGCAATAAGAGTGAAAGACAAACACCCTCATACGCTATGCATTTGGACAAGTTGGTTACTGACAGCCAGTCCTATTTTGTTACATTCAAGCAGTTTAACAAACATCCTAATGTAATATTTAGCAAACTCCATTTAGCAGCAGTCATATCATGGGTGGAACAGGTTACAACAGTGTTTCTCAACTCAGTGCTTGGGGACCCCCAGCAATCCGCGTTTTCGCTCCCTCCCGGCTCTCAGCATACGTGTACTAGGTGTCGGTGCTTGATTATTCCGTTCCAGAGCTGGTAGGAACCAAAAAATTGGACTGCCGGGGGATTCCCCAAGGACCGGATTGAGAAATGCTGGGTTCGAAAAAATGCTATTCTAAAGCCTAATATTAAGCACCATATGCCATCATTTTTTTTAAAACAAAAATACAGTTTAAAGATTATCAAAAAACTAACAGGAAATAAATGTTTGTTAAATGAATATGGTAACTTTTTCAATTTCTCGCGAGCCGTGGTGAATCGTGACAATGGGCTCGTGGTGGTGATGAAGGCCAGAATCTGAGAGCAGACGCCGAAGGCCGGAACATCCTAACACTGGGTTCTCCTGGCTTGCGAACTCCCAGAAAGATCCTCTGCCAAAAAGTCACATTTCACTAAAATCAATGCGTGTATAACTAAGTAACATCTGTATATAAACCTCTGAATGAATTTGACTGATAGTTCTTATACTTGCCTGACATATCATTTCCAAAACTGTTCAGCCCAAAGTTAACATCTATTTCTATTAAAATGGCCTTTTAGCCAGCAGAAGAGCTTTTAATAAGGACAACATATGACACAAATATTTTATCTGATATCGGGCAGGTCTCTTTCCCATCATGCACTGGAGTGATGAGAGAGGTCATATCACAAACGTTGAACTGAGAGCTACTCCAACAATCTATGGTCTCCCTGAAACCAGTATTGCTGTGCATTACAGTCGACTTCATCAATGCTCCATTCGAGTTTACTGCAGCATAACCAGACAGACAAGCTCACCAAACATTTACATACATGTAAAATGCATATCCAGTAGCTATGTTTGTATATCCAATAGCTTAAATAAAATCTATGGGTGTGTCCCGCCATTTATGGAACAAACTTTTTGCACCAATGTACACAAAACTGTCTTTGCCCTATAAACTGGGATTAGGACGTTAAATAGTGTGGAATGTGAAGCGAAACTGGTAGTAAGAACCAGTGAAAACCATGACAATTTTCAGAAGCGTATGAAAAATGTGTCTGTATGAGCTATATGTATGTCTGTGCTTTCCCATCTGGGCTGCGCTATACCAACGTGAAAGACAAGGACGTAGACTTCCTGTTCCCAGAATGCAATGCAAAGTAGTACCTATGATTAGGTACGTAACGTGAACCACCTCTAGGTGACAGAACGGCAGGTGTATCTATGAAGAAAGTAATCTGTAGCCACGGTAAAGTAGAACGTCTTCCGTACAAGAAAACTGTTAACCAGACAAAATCTGTATTTCATCCTTGTGGTGTGGTAAGAATTTCAAACTCGTGTCATGTTTCCAGCTCAAAATCTCAAAAGCATCTAAGTATAAAAAAAAAACACTGAAGTCTTATGTTCAGCAACGTCTGTCTTTGTGATAAATATTTTATATGTACAAAATGTAATCATTTTTGTATAAATGTACAGCTTGGTGATATTCACTGATCTGTCGCTGCAGCCTTGGGGGGCCTTACACTGAGACATATTCCTTAAAGGTCACGGTCAGACAGTTCGTTGTCACATCTGTGATGATGATGTTTCCCAGGAAGGGTCTGAAAGCACAGCTGGGCTCCGGCTTCTTTGCTTTGTCGCCCTCTGAGGGGAGCTCAGCTTTGGGGAGAGCATCTCGCTCTTGTCTGGACCTCACACAGCTCAGGTCAATCGGTTCCTCCAAGTCCACACCCAGGAGGCTTTGCCCCTGACTGTAGCTCAGGCCGTAGCTCGGGTGTTCCGGATCAGCTGCAGTCGGTACGCCACCAGGAGCGCTAACGCTCCGGACACTCAGGAACACTTTGGACCTGCCATGGTCCTCTTCTGGGTCAGACAGGTGCCGTTTGAGGAAGCGGCTGGCAGATGGGGCGGGGCGATCCCCCTCTTTGTTCATCATGGGGGAGGCAGGTGATTGGTGGGTCATGTTAGGCTCCACCCGGCTCACAGCCACGCCCACTCCGTCTCCTCCAATCAGCTCCTTCTCATTTGCCTGCTCTCCTCTTGAGCAATTCTGTCCATCAGTTTGTTTAGAATCATTGTTACATGCCACACTTCTATAGTCACTGGAGGTTCCATTTTCCAAGGCTGGACTCTCAATCCTTTCAGCCCCGTCTATGAACTTCTGTGACTCACTGCCCTCAGGCCGTTTCCCATCCACTGGCTTCTCCACCACCGACGGGTCGCCATTCTTAATCTTGGCTGACTGGCTGCCGTTCTCCATGTACTTACTCATGACAATGACAATTCGGCCGTTCTTGTTTTTGTTCTTAATGATCTTCATCTTGCTGCTGATGCCATTGGGGAGATCCATCTCCTTGGGGTTGCAGCTGATCTCTTCTTTGTCCCCTTCACTCTTATTCAGCTCCAGGGACAGGTCCTTCATTTTGCTCAGGCATCCTGGTGTTTTATCGCACACCCATTTCTGATGCGTAGTAGGCGGAAGCTTCCATTTATGATTGGTGGGTTCCTCACCTTTGACCTCCTTGGGCTTTTGAAACTGCAGGTCATATATCTTTGGGTCTGGCTGGTAGTGATGATGTTTTTTGCTGTTCAGCTGATAGAAATATTTTTTCTTGGCGTTGGCCTGCTGTTCCATGACACTCTCTTTGCCATTGGGCTGGTACTGGTGGTATTTTTTGCTGTTTAGCTGGTATTGCTGTGGCTGTAAGTGACTCATCATGACCGGGTCCGATTTGGATCGGTGCTCCTCCTCCAGAGACATCTCCTGGAATTCGGAGAATAGGCCCGATCGCCTTGCAAAAGATGGAAGCTAGAAAAAGAGACCAAATATCCAGTTAATTCTTAAGTTCTGAAAAAAATGCAACGATTTCTCCTCCATGTGTACAGCTACCATGTAATACTTGTATTTCTCCATGACTGGAATGCTTACCACAGTCTGTAGGTCATGCATTTATTACTGCCTCAAAGTGCCCTGAGTTTTCCCACCTATCATTAGTGTCTTTGGGTCCTTGAAAAGTGCCACATAAATCGGATCGATGAACATTAACAAATGAATCACACTACCGGCCGCATGGTGATACAACGGTTAGCACTGTCGCCTCACACCTCCGGGACCTGGGTTCGAGTCTCTGCGATGGATCCACGTGTGTGGAGTTTGCATGTTCTCCCCGAGTCATTGTGGGGTTTCCTCTGAGTACTCCGGTTACCCCCCCGCAGTCCAGAAACATGCTGAGGTTAATTAGAGTTACCAAATTTCCCACAGGTGTGCCTGTGTGAGTGACCGGTGTGTGAGTGACCGGTGTGTGAGTGACCGGTGTGTGAGTGACTAGTGTGTGAGTGTGCCCTGCGATGGGTCAGCACCCCCTCCTGGGTTGTTCCTTGCCTTGCATCCTGAGCGGTTTCAGAAAATAGATGGATGAACGGGACTAATTACATTAAAATGCTAAGTGATTAATTACCAATAACTATATGTGAGTGAAATTTAAAGCGCAAAGCAAATCAAAGAGAAACTCATCTGAAGAAGGAATATTGTGAGGAACTATCACACGGCTTTTTTGATGCCATAAATCCTGCTTCTCATCACTGGCCAAGTCCATGCGGGAGGGACCATACCATTGGTGTAGATGTGTGAATGTTCACAAAACCCCCTGACCAATGTGGGTTCGCCCCCCCCCCCCGGGTCATCAGGCTGTTATTTCCGGGGGGTAGCGCTGTGCTCTTAGCTCACAGGAAGGCTGCTTGATGCCTCATGCTTCGTCAGTGCCGTTACCCAGACAAGCTGCCGTTTAACGCGAGGATTCCTCTATTCCTCTCATGGGAATCACTCATCCAGTGTGGGGCCTTTGAAGTTAACCAGAGAATTCCGAAAATGCTTCCATTCCATGAAATCCTAGTCACCCACATTACAATACACAGCCTCGAAAGACAGATTATTAACCAACTCAGTTCTGCTAACGTTATATGGGTTTATTAATGTGCTGTATCTGTACTGTTTCATAAACCGTAAATAAATGTGATGAGGCACTGTTTACACAGCCTGACTTTACATGAAAGTTTACACAAAATGTCCAGGACTGCGAGTATGAAATTCCACACACAGGACACCTTCTGCCTGTTTACTGATGTAATACTTGAAAAGTTCCACTCTTCATTTTGTTTTGATCCTCCTGTCCTGATACCACACAATCGTGATGCCATTTACCTGCAAAAAGAGTGGCTTGGTTTTGGGTCCTCGCTTGCGATATCCCATCAGCTGCTCCTGTTTCTCCCTGTTAAAATGAATGTTAAATTCTGAGCCAACAGTGTACAGTGACACCACAGTGTGCTATAAACTTTATACTGCGNACATCAATATCATGCATAAAATACTGAGTTTTTAATTTGTTCAGTAGTAAAATGTTCAAGTTACTACATCCAAAGAGACTCTAGTTTAATCTACACAGCAGAGGTGGACAGTTCAGATCCAGAAAGTACAAATGCAGACCAAGGTTTTGTTTCAACCAACCAGTTGAGTATAAAGGGTCACAGTCAACTGGGGACCTGAACTTTCCACCTCTGTTATGTAGGTCAATCAAGAAACTGAACGAATAAAGTAATGTGTCTACTGACATCTAGGAGTCAGCTCCTGCGCTACTTCTTTGCTGGGAATACCTCACCATTTCACAACACAGGCCGTATTGCATAACTGTTCCCCTGAGCCGACTCACAAAGGCTGCAAGGCCTTGGGGTCAAGGAACTGGAAGGAGCTGGTAAACGGGGAAGTTAAGGTTTGTGTAGCTAAGATATGCTCAGGCAGCATGCTGTGTGGATGTCAGACTTGGCGGTTCTTTGGCTCCCAAAAGCAAAAGAAGAAATGTTGCATTGTGGTCTTCAGATTATGCCATACAATTCACCAACGTGATTTTATCTGTACACTGCATGTAGCTCTTTCTCTTCTAACCCCTTGCTGTTGACCTTTCGTCTCCCGATCACCGTTTTCTTCTTCGAATTTCACTATTGGATGTTTGATGTTGCAGCTGTTTACATCTTATTTTCCCCTGGAAGATTTATTAAGCTTGGTACATGGTTCTCTCTTTCAAAGCTTAGCTGATAGTGGACGGCCCCTTATGTGCAGTTCATTGTATTTCTAGTGTCCTACGTGGGCCATGTGCTCAAAGGCTGAATTAATTATTACTATTAACAAAGTAACGAGTTCACTAAACCCCCACCCATTTTATCCAACATTTCACAACATGTAGACACATATGCATCCACACCTATAACTACTTGTTAGTAAAATAAGACCCTGGTGAGTATGTGGCTGAGGAGATCATCTCCGGTGGGGATACATTGTGTTATTATGTTAATGCTGGTTAAATTTGACCAAACTTTTGTACTCCTGTCTGCAGGAAGGGCCATGCAGTGTGTTGGCCATGCAGTGTGTTGGCCATGCAGTGTGTAGGCCATGCAGTGTGCTGGCCGTACAGTGTGCCTTCAGTCAAATTACACTGCACCGTTTTGTGTGACTGAGAGTAAACGCTACTACTCATTACTTAATAGGATAATGTATAGTATGGAAAGAGGCTGTCAGTCACACCTTACAGCACTCTAGCAGATCAACATGAACGGCAATGTGGCAGTGTCAAGTTTGCTGAAAAATGCAATATTCCCATTTTATTAAATCCATTCAAATGTGGCCTGAACTTCTTTGCTGTTGTCACCAAAAACATACTATTGTTCCAGTAGCCTCTATAAAAGTAAAATCGAGTACTAACCAACAAATGTAAAAAAAACTGCAGTCTGGTGTGCACGCGCCAAGGGTTACCGCGACAAAAGTACCAAATCTTGCCCATTGTTCTTATGAAAACAAAATGACATCGCGAGTATTCTTGTTACTGTTCCTAATTTCCCGAGTACCTAAGCGTAACTACAAATGCGCATTCTGACACCAGTAGGATTTACAAGGATGCATACCCACAATATCAATAATACAATTATCACGTTTAAACCTTAATGTAAAAAGACAGACGGACACCTCAGGCCATGTACAGCGGTTGGCTACAAGGCAGCGCTGCTCCGCCCCCCTTTGCATGACTGTATAAGGTCACCGCCGGGAGGGCTCACCTGTTTTGGAAAGCGGTAAGAAGCCGCGGGTCGAGTATGTTTTCTTCTGGTTCCCATGTGTTGTATCTGAGAGCAGAAACGGGTTAAGACAGAGACCGCAAAAAGATTAGAAGACTTAAAAGGGTTACCGGGTCATTTGGAAATGATCGAGACAGATTAGAGTGAAATAAATCTGTCACGTGTTTCGTCTGTTAGATATGAACACCTGATCAGTGTCTACGACGAGGGCACCCTGAAACGCAGTCTGCCAGGAGCATTTTTAATACTGACAGTAAACGTCAATATGTGTCAGTAGCCTACGTGTAATTCATATCATGCCGCCCTGTCAAAATCAAACTTAGAACACGTAAAGAATTTTGTAATGTGATGTTAAATATCTTAACCAAGATAAAAACGAATCACGTTGATGTAAAAATGACACCGCTTCTGAGAACGTTTAGTGGGTTACTTGTACAGAAGGCTAACATCTACAGTAAACGCGACTGTTGTGAACAGGCAAACAACTTTAATCACATTTAAAGTACAACAAATCTATAGGCTTGATCCGTCTTACTACAGCTTATTTTGATGGGCTCCATTCTCCCCTTCCCCATATAAAATACTGATGGCATCCACAGCTACACCAAACCAAAAAAAAAAAAAAAAACTGGCGACACTGAGTCCCCACAGAGGTACAGGCGACTATCTACACACATGGCTTGGCATAACGTGTGACATATGGAAACAATATACGACATTGAGACTTACTTAGAGGACCACCCTCTCCACTTGACCAGGTATTCTATCCTACCCTGTAAATGAAGATAAGCAAGATATAATGACCCGTTATGTATAACCGATGCACGAAGCTTATCCAATAATACACGCAGGGAGCTGTTCGCGAAAAAAAATATCTGACGGATTTGTCGACGTTAAGCGATCTTAACCTTTTTAAATCGTTTCTTTTCGATGCTTTCCACGGCAAATACGTGCTCCCCGGTTGCAGGTAGATCCATTGTCGCTCCGATCAGGTTGTGTAGGACGATCGGCGCAAAAGGATGGGGTGTCAGAATGGTGCAGACGGTCGCTTGATGCCTTATTCTGCTGGTAATTTTCCTCTTGTCTGAAGAGAGATTGTGTTCGCTCGCTCTCTTTCTGTCTGTCTCTTGCACGCAGTCTCCCTTCGTTCCTCCCTCCTCCTTCTCTCCCCCTCTCTATCTCCCTCTTTCAGTAGCAGAACGCAGCGATATATGCACTATAGCGAAGACAGTTCATGCAAAAAAACCAGGGCCTTGACGTCAGGGGGGGTCGCGGGTTAAAAGGGCTGCTATAAAGTTGGGTAGATGTAACGCGGGAATGAACAGCAAGAGGGAGCAATGGTGACTCCGAAAATCGTTTCGCAAATAGCGTCGCGTGTCTGGGCAATACCCAGTTAGAAAAAAGATCAATAAGTAAATCCATATGAATTATCGCCTACGTAAGATTCTTAGCAGACAAAGTATGATTTATGGTATTCTGGAGTTAGATAAGCTTTGTTTTGTTTTAAAAAAAAAACAAACCCAAAAACCCAGTTTTGTCTGTCATTTTGTGTATATAAGATACGATGTTTAAATGTTTTTCGAAGACAGGCTTATTTGTGCTGGAAGGCTGACCCAATTCTTTGGATTTGCAGTCCAGCGCTGAACGAACAAGTTCAAAGTTGGTCTGACCTCAGTATGTTGGAGTTGTGGGAAAGATTGCTATTAACCTGAATTCCCAATGCGAAATTAATAAAATTATCGGAAGGCAAATGTCATGAAAAGCACATTTTGTGTGAATTGTAAGCGCATATTTTTTGGTCGTGTTGAACAAGGTTAGGAGACACTTCTTCATTTTTTATGGGCAGTGACAGCTGTGTAGCCCATACATAATATTGAAAACTCATTTAAAATAAAGATCTAAGTACTACGCGCCATATTTGAAATTCTAAAATAGTTCTGGGGTTGTTAAATACAAATAAATAACAAAGAACCAACCTGGAAATTAAATGTAACTACAGCTGGATAAATCGGTATATATAGTGGAATCGCTTAATAAATACAAGCCATCCCCTGAGAAGGATTAGCTTACATTTCGGAACAGACACTGAGCATTACGTGTTAGTAAACAATTTAGGTACAAAAGGTTTACAGTTACTGCTCGAGGATATGAAGATCGTTTAAGCAACATGGCTAGGGTATTAATCGTGTATCATATAATCGCTTTCAGTGAATTGTGTTTTCTATAGGTAGGTAATAAGATTTCCTCGTGGTAAGCAGAGAAATGACAGGTATTAATAATTTTGCGAATCGCTTAATCACGGGTTACCTAATTCAGTGTACAATTAGGCTAATTAATATTAATTGCTCGAGCAAATGATGAATCTCAGCACTGGGTTTAAAAGACGAACGTTAGATATTCTTCAGTTTGTGTTCTGCAGAAAACAAATTTGGGCGGATAACTGTTGTAATAGGATATGTAGGTCAAGCGGGCCAGTTTGTAGCCCCAGCGGCGTTTGTAACCGCTCCTTTATTAATGCCATCTGAACCGGGACATACACCAGCCGGCTGGTTGAATATTTGGAGCTGAGGACCAGCGGCTCTCTAGTCTCTACGACAAAGCACAAGCACTGAACCAAACCTCTTCCCAACTCCTCTCTGATACACGAGCACATTTACATACCCGACTTCTTCTGACTAAAATATAGTATTACAAAATATCTGTAATATGAACAAAGTACTTCCCCCTAGTAAGTGTACTCTAATGCACGAATGGTTCTGTTTCAAAAGACAAGAACAGCTCATATGCAATTATGGGGGGGAAACACTGCGTTGCAATTAAAATGGCTTCAAAATGGATATCATCAACCTGTTCTCACTAAACAAAATTCAGCAGCGGAAGGGTTAAAAGAGAGAACAGTATCTCGGCGGCAACAATCAACCTATTGCGCGCAAGGACGGTGCGGCGCTGTCTTTCCATAAAAGGTAATACGTGCGCGAGAAAATACATCAAACGAGTCATTGATCGATATCCGTCCGCATTTACAGTATCCGCTGTTTGCTGAATCCTGACTGACAGTCAACTAGTTATGATAATTACCCGCATAATGTATTACACGACGTTCTCTGTTTTTTTTTTTTTAATTGGTAAAAGAAGTATACAGTGATCTATTATAGACAACACAGTCAATGTCTTCTTTTTGTTCCAGTAATAGGTGATACGGGTCCTGCACGATTTGTGATGAAATTCAGTATTTATTGTTTATTTGCAATGAAAACCAAATACACGCCTTCGTTAGCGTAACATGTCACCCTTACATCTTATGTGACAAATGAATGTAAAGCGGAATGACACAAAACAAGACGTAAAACGGACTACATTAAGAATAGAATTGGTTAATTTTACACGTTTAACGAGCATGTCGATAGCCCATTCGACTTTTGCTTCTGTTACTATACGAAATTAATACAGAAATGACGGGAGGTTAAAGAGAATGCATTCACTTCACTGAAGCGCAGTGAAGCTGAGCGCCTGGACGTTCCTATGGAATGCTGAACACGCGCGTCTGTTACCGCGCAGCGGCAAAATGAACATTTCGTTACATTTGTCAACCAATTACTGAATATGCTGTAGAATGATTTAAGCGAAAACGATGTTTTGAAATATGGTAGCCTGATATCAGAAACTCACTCTCTAACCGCAAAAATGTCAGGCTTATGGACTGTAAACATCATGCATAAGTATCAAATGAATCCATACAGGGAAATCAGCAAATGATCTTTATCTCTGTGTAAACTGCTACATTTTATAGATTAATATTTGTTGGTGGTAACTCTTAAGTTTTATACTCATCCATATGCTGGTTACAGAAATGTAAGGGTATATACATTTCTATCCAGTAATTGGATTCTCTCAGGCGGCCTTGGGGTTTGTTTATTTAAATTTCTTTTGTCATCACCTTCATGAGCTGAAACATGATTGAAACAGGACTAGCGAGTTGCCTAGACCTCTCCCATCAAGGTTCCAGATTCCAGCCCCGCCTGGGAGATTCCCAGACACTCCCAACCCAGTTAGAAGATATAATCCCTCAATTGTGTGCTGCGTCTGCCGAAGGATCTACCAGGTTTTAGGAAATAATGATCAACGACGATTAACCTAAGGCAACACTTAGATTACGTGAGTCATTCTGATGATACAGATTCCTTTGAATTACATTGCCTTTGGCCACACTGAATAAATATCATGGATTCATTAAGGTCACCAATACTCTCTTTAACCATTTCGTTCCTGAGTGAAACTGGCCGTGTGAACACAGCTAGGATTTAATTAGCCTGAGTAGAAAAGCAGCCAAATGTCAGATATTACACAATTAAGGGACAAGCCTTTCTTTCTTTCACTGTATCTTATCTAGACAATTAGTGTTGTGGAATAAGTGAAGAAATACTTTCCATTCTATCGTAGCAGCTACTGCGTCATCTAGAAACCAACCGTTTAGCTGATGAGGTGCTAGCAGTGTCCGTCAGCCGGGATCCGCAGCCCAGCCAGCATCTCACGCACTGTGAGGTTGGGACAGGGCTGGTGAGCAGGACCTGACCGGAAACAGTGCGTGTAGAACCTCGTAAAACTGTGACCTTCTGCCAACTGGCTCTCGTGGTGCCAAACGCGAAGGTCACACACTCGCTTCACACGGTACTTTGTGAAATAAAGAGGAGGGAAAATGCACGATCCGCATGAAAGAGGGAACAGAGCGGGTGACAGTGGCGCGAGCTTGGGTTACATGTGATTCTTGGTTGGGGGTTGAGTCTATTGTCACAAATTCTTTGAGCAGAACTCAGCAACAGTGATTCAAATGCAAAAAAACAGAGGTGCTTAAGAAGTCCTCAGGGTGAAAACATACATCTAATAGCTTAAATACTCTACAGAAAAAAATCAGTGAAATTTTCAATGAAAAACAAGCACAGTGATTACATTAACAACAGAAAATCTGCAAGCACACCTGGAGTAAAACAAATAATGTAACAGATTCTGCAGGCTCTAGCTGCTGTGTTTTCAATGCTATATTAATCACTATATTGGCAAAGCACTGTTGTAATGGTCTATTAGCATCTGCATGCTAGACTTCTCCCAGGATGCTTTGCATCATCCATGTCTGACAGGTCAAAATGGGACACTGCTGAGGGGAAATTAATCTAATCTTGAGTACTCTTTTCCCCCCCCTCAACTCACCAATTCCCAGATGCTAAATCAAACAAATTTTAAAAAGGTACAAGACCTATCAGTTAGATCTGCCTAGTATAAACTTCACATGCCGTTCATAATTCGCCGTTTCTGGGGACCTCCTATTGCGTCACACCTCCAGGGTTGCGGGTTCGAAGACTGGCTCTCTCTCTGTGGAGTTTTCTTGCTCTCTGTATTTCATGTGGACTTCCTTTGGCTGTTCCAGCTCACTGCTACACTCCAAAGTCATGTAGTCGGGTGAACCAGCACCTCTAAATAACCCATGTAGTGCAGTAGACTGGCATGCCTTCCAGGGTGTCCCCCTGCCATGTGGTCTGTGTTGTCTGGGATTGGCTCCAGCCACCCCCCCCACCCCCCCCATGAAACTGTCCCGGATAACCAGTTGGATGATGGATGTATGTTGTTCTCATGGACTCAGCAAAACACGCACAGATGCTGAGCTCCCATATTTTATCCAGATGAACAGGACACTCCAGAACCTATATCCCCAACCATCTCATTCTGTGGGGTCATCATCAGCTCCAAATGAATAGATATCTACAGTGACCATCAGCATCAAGGAGCAGGAGCAAAAGAGCAACAGAGACGGTATTAGAGAATGATTGTGACAATAGCAAGAAAAAAAAAAATCCTTCAGTGAAAACCTAATAAGAGGAGCGGTGTGTTAGGGGAGCGGCCAGACGGGGCCATCTATATGGAAATGGCTTCTTTTAATACCTGGCCATGTAATTGGCTGTGGAGATGCAACAGGAAGGACAATGAGTTTGGAGGGGGCAACGCGGACATAAGGGGGTGGGGATGGGGAGGGGTGTGTGCGGCAAAGATCAGGGCTCATCCTGGTGAATTCCTTGCTCATAGATTCACAACTGAACACATCCTTTCTGAAGTGTAACGTGTAATTCACTTAGTAATATTAATCTTATTATTCACCATGAAGTCAGACGGTTCAGGGCACCGTCTCAGTCTCGCTAATCTCTGATACTCTTAGTATTGTTTTTCGGAGCAGAGAAGGAGCATTGGG